TCTAGAAATAAGGGCTCTACTCCAGTAGTAAAGGGCAAAACTGAAATAGACCATCCCTAACAAAACCTAAAGCCAATGCTCTTCATCCCCCAGAAGAAAATCAAGCTCTCTTTGCAGAAAGATAGTATCACCCAGAGCCCCTCCAAGTTTTTATCCATAATGCCTGGTTCTCAATGAAAGAAATATGAAGCGTGCTTTAAAATGATCAAATGACTGCAACCCAAGAGTAAAAAGAGACAGTAGAAGCAGACCTGTAGGTGATTCAGGGATTGCGACTGAGAATTTAAAATAATTATGGCCAATAAATTCAAGAAAATAGAGGGGAAGATAGACAAAGTAGATAAAAGGATGAAGAGTTTTAATACAGAGTTGGAATCTTTAAAAAACAGAATTAAATGTACATTCTAGAACTGAAAAAGATAACCTCTGAAATTAAAATAATTTATTGGATGGTTTTAACAGTAAACTGTAGAAAATGGGTTTGAGTGAACTTTAACAGCAGACACAATAAAATATAGAATTAATGAAGTGGGAAAGAAGTTAATTTCAACCAGAAGAAATAGGGGTAGCCTAACTACCATGGGAAAAAACTAAATTCCTCCAGGGTGCAGGAGAAAAGCTAGAGATGGGAGATGATAATTGTGCCTAGAAGGGTCTATGTTCTACTGTAATCCTGACGTGTCTTCTGGGCTGGCCATGGTGAAGTCCAGAGCTATTAAAATAAACTAGGCCATGATATCTCTAGAGTCTGTGCCTGAAATCCCTTATGCCACAGTCTAGTTTAGCTGTGATTCTAAATTATCTGTGTGGATTGGACTGCAGGGGAGAAAAAGGAAGAAAAACAGGGAGCTAGAAGATGACTCTTTAGAAGAAATCTCCCTTTTTTTAGGCTTGAAAGGTACCAGGGATGAGGAAACTCAACATTTACTTGAAAAATGGGAAAGTGTGTCCTAATATATCTTATTAAAAAGGCATTAAGGACAGAAGCAAAACACTTACCAAAATTGTGACAAGTTGTTTTTCTTCACAGTCTTCAATTACTTCTACATTTAGCTTCTCTTTATATTTCTAAAATGCAAAAGCAATTGCAGTGTGAAATTCCTATAAAGCAGAAGATTTGTATCTGATTCTTCTCCTCTTAAAATCAGCTAAAATATATTGAAAATATGCCATAATGAGTTATGTGACAAAGATGCATTCTGGATACAAAGACATAAAGCACCTTATTATGAACAGTTTTCTCCAATAAATAATGTAATATAATTGATTTCTCTATTCCCTAAAAATGTATCAATAGCTATCTTAAAAAAAAAAAGAGATGTGGGTTGTTTGTACGTAGGTAAGAAAGAAAGAGAAAAACGAGTGGCTTACATCTGTTTTTTATTAGTTTATAGCAATTTCCCTTTATTCTCCTCAGACCTTCTCATCTTCAACATCTCAAACTCTCAAATAAAATTCTCTTAATTCTCAAAACACCTAGCAAAGCCAAAAACAAAATGAAAAAACACCCCAGCAAAACTAGACCTATGCAAACACTCTAAAATGTATGGAAGTAAAAAGAATAGACATAGTGAATGTGTGATATTTTCCTTTCATTTGGTGATAATTAAAACACTGTTTGCTAATATCTACTTGCTCTCCCATCATCCATGATGCTGGCCTTGGTCAAGTTTGGTCAGTGAGAATTTTAGTGAATGTGATGTGAGTAAACACTTGAAATGTGCTTGCACAGTTGGGTTTGCTGTCTTGCAGTTCCGTCACCACCGTGAGGAGAACATCTATCAGGTAGCTGCTGGTCAAGAAGGGTGAGAGATGCATAGAGCAAATCAGACTCACAGCTTGGGGCCAAACCCAACCAAGATCAATTGAAGCCTGGTCAATCCACAAATTCATGAATCAGAAAAGATGCTTACTGTTACAACAATAACTGAGGTGTTTGGTTGTTATGCCGCATTATATGGCAATAGCTGACCAATACATTTCCCTTCCTGACAATATTTTTTTGCTTGTTAACACACTTGAATCTACCAGTCACTACTCCAGCTCCCATATACCCAGGAGCTGTTTTTTAACAAAGTGCTATTCCAACCAAGCAGCCTGGAAGTCTCATAACACTCTGTGTATAGTGGGCCACCCAGGTCATCTCCCTACCCCTCCTTCTTTGTCTCCCCTTCCTTAGACCAGGACTAAACCTATTCTCATTTGTCAGACCTCTGAATAATTAGACGAATTCCAGAATCCATGGTTAGATACCACCTAATGTCCACAGGACTGAATTCCCCACTTACCAAAATAGACTTGATTTCATCAGGAGTAGCTTTGGTCTGGCTCATGAGCATTTCCTGAGCTATGTCCTTTCTGTTCTCTAGCTTATTCATTTTATCATAGGTGTCAGTATTTAAAAGAGACCATCCAAGAAATTGTGTGAGCGTCTGAAATGGATAATACGTGATTCAATTCTCTAAAATTAAAGGAAAATTAATTTGGAAGCAACAACCTGCATGTTCTCTTATCAATTTCCCTTCCACCATCAACAACCCAGTTCTTTGTTTTAGCCTAAGAAAAATCATACTAATAGTTAGCACCAGACAATAAAATTGGCTAAGCCCTTGCTTTTCAAAGTGTACCATGCACCATGAAAACTTTATTAGAGGAGAAGAATTACAAAAAATCCAGTAGGATAAAGCATGACCTGAAAATCAGAGAGAGGCCTGGGGGTGATAAGAGGAAGATGAGAAAATAGAAGAGGGGGTGGGGAGAAAAGAGATAGAAACCTTCTTTCCCAATTTCCCAATATTGTAAAGAATTTTGACTAAGCCAAAAGTTCATACTTTGGTAGAAAATGTTGCAGTTTATAGAAGTCAGGAAATAGAAATACACAATAACAACATATTGACTACAGCTATGTGTGACTCATGTCTTAATTGCCCTTCCCAAATATCATTCCAGAAAAACAAAAAAATGCCTCCTCCATGATTTCATGAATTTCATTTACCTCCATTATTTTATAATTGCACTTACCTCAGTAATGTGTTCATCATACTCATCAAAAGGTTTTCCATCCTTTCTGTTGTAAAATGTAGCCACTCCCACAATGTCTTCCTTCTTGTTGACGATAGGCAGGGACAAGACGTTTTTAATGACCCAACCGGTTTCATCTACAGGTCCTTTCTACAAACAATAACGACATTTAGGTTATTTTTTTAACTTTTTATTTTAAAATAATTGTAGATTCACAGGATGCTGCAAAAGAAATGTACAGAGAGGTTCCAGGTACCCTTCACCCAGTTTCCCCAATGCTAACGTCTTGTAACTGTAGTACACTATCCAAACCAGGAACGAGACATTAGTACAGTCCACGGAGCTTATTCTGATTTCATCAGATTTATATCTATTTATTTGTGTATGTGTGTGTGTGTGTGTTTCTATGCAAATTCATCACATGTGTAGATATATGCAACTTCCACTAGAATCAAGACACAGAACTAATCCATCACCACAGGGCTCCCTTGCACCACCTCTTTACAGCCACCCTCCCTCCTTGGGTTATTTTTAATTTAAAAAGAGAATAATCTTTGGGTGTTAGACGCACAATTCCTACATTGTGTCAGAACATGGCTAGGACTATACAGCCATACAAGTGTCCTAGTACATTCAATTAAATGTACTAGAACCAAGTGTCTGTATTCTGACAACCCCCTCCTCTCTATGTCCCCCCAGCCCTAGGGATGGGAAGCACTTACCTTTGTGTTCCCTGTTCACTTTTTCTGTCCTCCAACACCAGTTTAGCTAATTCCTTACATTAAATTCTCTCTGATGCAATACCTCATTGTGGTTTCTGTTTCCTGACTGATCCATCAAGATAGTCTTTTGTTCTGGGATGAGGCCAACTAGTAAACATCTGTCAAGTCCCTATGATGTGTCAGGACTAGTTGCTTGTGGTACAAAAATGAATAAATCACAGGCCTTAACCTCAAGATAACCATCTCGTGGGGGATGCAGACACAGAAGTTTAGGAGTGTTTCCCAAAGTGTGACCCAAGGACCACACAAAACAGATTTTTTTAGCTTGTTTCATAATCTCTGGGGAAGCATTATAAATAAGTGCCCCAGGTAACTCTGATGGCCTCTGAAGGCTGAGAACCATGGGGTAGCACCCGCACGCTTTGTAGCAAGGCAAAGGTAGCCGAGGACTCAACACGGCGCGTTAGTCCTTCTTCTGTCTGCCCTTGGCTTCCTTAGCATCCGCGGAAGCCCGGGTTCACTCTTGCCTTCCCCATGAAGCTTCCTCTGACTCGTTTTCGCCCATACGGAACTCCGCTTTTTCAGAATTCCAACAGCAACCATAGCCCGGACCATACAATTTAGCATTCAGATATTTTTCAAATGCTTCAGAATCGTTTATTTTTGTCTCTGAGGCTGTTTTCTAACCTTACCAAACAGCTGTGCCATGAACGGTTGAATTCCACCTACGTGATAGGACCGCCTGGGGCACGTGACAGGGGCTCAATAAACGATTGTTTATTAGTTGAAGAGCTCATCTTTCTACTTGGAATGAAAAGCAGAGAAACCAAACCTCAATTTATGTTGCCTAATTTTCAAAGCTTTAGGACAAAAAAGCAGTGCACAGTGGTTCTCAGTCTTCATCTTGGAAAACGCTGTGAAATATTTATATACTCAGACCTTCACACGGCCTAGGGACAAAATTAATAGCAGAAAATATATTACCTGTGTGCAAAATAACTTCACAACCAAAGCACCCATGTATATTTTTTTAAAACTTCCAAAATAAGCTCTTCTGACCTCTGACCTCCAGAACTGTAAGATGCACACATTTGCATTGTTTTAAGCTACTGAGCGGTAATTTGTTACAGCAGCAATAAGAAATTAACACACCATGTCCCCAGGGAACATAGTTTGAGAACCACCGCCTTTGCAGGTTTGCTCTGACCAAAGGTTTGCTTTGGATCATTGGTTTTTCCATTAACTTCCCAGATGCAAAAGGGACTAGTGAGAATGAGCAGGAGGTGGGAGAAGGGGAAGGCAGAACAGGGCGAAGCCTCGGGGAGGGCAGCCGCCCTATCCTTGTCTGCTCTTTGGAATAATCCACAGGGGCAAAGCCGTGAGCGAAAATGGGGAGGGAGCCTGAGGAGGCTGAGAACACCATCAAGATGCAGGTCTGACCCAGGGCTAAGGAGAGAGGGAAGGAGGGAGGGTTGCGTGGAAGCATCTTAGACCACAGTGCTGTTTTATGAGTCTGCTGGGGACTCCTAGGGCCAACACTGTCAGTCAGAGGAGGCTGGGTTGCTTTAGCATCCCTGCGACACTCAGCCAGCAGCTGAAAGTGGCCCATGGGAAGCCTGACCTCAGTGCATCTGTGACAGTGGATTTCTGAGTCCAGCAGCCATTGGATGGTTATCCTTTCCACAGTGGGAGACCTGAGAAGTGCATTTTCATGGGCACCACACTGACGTTTCTTGGAGAGCTGGGAAATTCCTATGGGCTGAAGTTTGCCCCAGCCTCCTGTCTGCCAGGGCCATCAGAGCACCAGTGTGGTTTCTCCCGTGGAAGCCACAGCGTGGCACGAGAGAAAGCAGGAGTCCACAGACCTCAGAGCGTGGCCTTGATTCTCCCGGGCCATCTCCTTTCCCTCCCTGTTTAGACAATGACTACTAAAGTTTCGGACACTTTAGAAAGTCCTTGTCCCCTTTTTCCTGCTTGTGCATTCTTTCCTGGCCCCGAATTGCCATAATATGGGGTAAGGGCTGGGCACAGCATGGTCATGAGTAAGCTTTGGCTACAAGAAGCAAGGAGCTGGAGGACATGCACCATATGGTGTTTGCGTGTTTTCCGTGTCAGTGAGCAGAAGGACGAGCAGGCAGAGCAGAGGGAAATCTTCCATGTCGCTAAGCAAATGTGCACAAGTTTCCCCAGGCTGGTTTGCTGCTTCTGCTGAGGATGCACCCCTCGCCCTCCAGGAGGTTGGCCTCCCCATCCAGGCACAGCTTGGGCTCTCTGTGTGTATCTGTGTGACAGGCAGGAAGACAAGGTCCCCACTGGGAGGACAGTCTCTACTCCTGACCAGGACTAGGGCTCTAACTGGACATTCCTTAAACCTAGGACACAGAACAAGAGCCAGAAGGCAGAAAAGGAGCGGCTGCAGAGCCAAATGCCAGTTTATCCCCAAGGTCAGGTGGGGAGGGGGTAACAGAGGTCACAGGTGAGGAGGAGATGGGAGTGACAGATGGGGGGTGGCAGAGCTGACAGGTGGGGAAAGCATGTTGGATCTCTGGATGTTGGAGGAAGAAGGATAAAACCGAGAGCCTTGACGGCAGGTGAGGCCCCCGAGGACCCAGTAAGAAGTTTTCCTTTTCCGCGTAACGGTTGCCATGAGCTGCAGGAAAGGGCTTCGAGAAAACCACCCAGAGGGCTGAATTCAGGTGCCAGTCATCCATGCAGAGAGCATTTATTGAGCACCTGTGATGTGCCAGGCATGTTGCTGGTACTAGATGACCAGGAGTAGGGGAGAATGGAGAAGGGCAGGGCCCCCAAACACCAGTTGACAAACACCCTGTCTCCTCTCTCACTCTCCCTCTTTTCCTCCTGCCTCTTGTCCCTTCAGTGAAGAATCTGCTACTTGGCCCCTGGCCCAGCCAGGGTGAGGGGGACATAAGCCCTGCGTGTGCCTCCTGGCCACACCTGAGCACAGGTTGACTGTGGGGATTGGGGGCGGGGTGGGGTGGGGCGGGGTGGAGGAGACTGTGCTGCTCCCCTCCTCCCTGGACTGAGCCGTGAGGCCTGGCAGAGAGCAAGGTTACCTGGAAAGTGAAGTATTCGTCTGCAGGGGCATTCAGCATGTTACATATCTGTAAAGCAAGAAGAGACAAAAGTCCTGAAACATCGTGTGGTGGAGCCATTAAACCCACAAAGCAGAACAAGAAAGAATGCATCAGGTGGGAGGGTTTCTTGCAAAGTGCTCGGAATGCTCGAAAGCGAATTAGCCACATGGGACCTCAGCTAGGCCAAATGTGCTAAGAGGACATGGAATTCAGCTTCTCTTCTGCTAATTAAGTCACAGGACGACATTTAGCACCATCTATCTCTGCTCCTTCTTACTCTCCCTGCCTCTAAAGATTCTTCTTCCAAATTCAGCGCAACTAGCTGTTTAGGCCAAGGAGAGGAGAAATCTGAGCAGAAAGGCCGTTCTGTTGGAGCAGGTGTGGCAGCAATGCTGGGAACGCTCTGTTTTCTTTTCCTTTTTTTTTTTTTTTCTGATGTGGGATCCATGTTGGAAGAAGGTGGCCACGGAGCAGGAGGAAAAAGCCAGACAAGCTTTTAGGTACACCAAAGTAAATATTCACTATGAGACATCACTTTAAGTACTGAATTCAGAGACTATTGCTCACATCCATAAGGACAAGAAAGTATTCCAGTTTGGGTCATTTTTAATTATCTGTATGTTGTGTCATATCCACAAATGGGTCTTAATAAAAGACTATATCTTTCTTCCCACCAAAATTATATTGGATACTTGAAATCACAGCATTTTAAAGCTGGAAGGAACTTCAGTAATTAAATTCACGCTTTTCTTTTGAAAGAGGAGGAAAGAGAAGCCCAAAGAAGTTAAGTGATTTTGTTCAAATTCGTGGGGTGAAACTAGAAGTGGGGTCTCCAGTGAGGGTGCTGGTGGGATGGGTGCTCCAGGTGAGGAGTTGGGGAAAGCCCTGATTTGCATTATTTGCCAATTTCCATGTTGTAACTACTTCTACCATGGGCGATTTCAAGCTGCCAATAGTTTAACAACTTGCTCTCAAAATTCCTGAAAAATCTAGATTTTGATTTTGGCGATAGGTAGGAGCAGGCTTCTACACCCTCTGCACTAACCCGGCCCCTCAGGCCCCAGGTAAGCGCTTTCCCAGGGTGGCTGAGCCATGTCAGCTATTGCTGTGCTACTCTTACAAAGCAAATGTGCAAATCTTTCAAAGTTTTTATTAGCATATCTAACCTAAGAATTGAACGACTTTTTGTGCCATCCATTAATTTTATGATCTAATTTGAATGAATAACATGAATTGATCGTCTGAGCATCATTCAGGTGTGTTTTAAAGAAGCAAAAAGCTGCCTAGTCCTCTTTTCTCACCCTTCCATCAGCAGCAACTGTTTCAGTCCACACTTTCAGGCCTCTGGGGAATACCTACAGATGGGCCAGGTCTTAGAGGCCAAGCTTTTAACTCGGTATCCAGAAATCCTTTCCATCCTCCCTCCCTCCCTCCCTCCCTCCTGTTCTCTCTCTTTCTGTGTTTCCTCATCATCTTGATTCCAGCTTACTTTGATCCTGTATTCAATGCCTCTAATTCTAGAAATATACCTAATTTTTGCTTTTAATGTCTAAATGATTTCAGCTATAAGAAATCACTAAACTGAAATCTGTCATTTCCCCATTCAAAGCTGGGATTTACTTAAAAAAATTTTTTTAATTGAGATATAATTGACATACAACATTGTATTTGTTTCACGTGTGCAACATAATGATTCGATATTCGTACATATTGTGAAATGATCACCACACCAAGTCTAGTTAATATCTGTCAGGATTTACTTCTTTCATGAGAACTCTGTGTGCCCAGGGCCCCAAAGTCCAGCGAGGTCCAGTTGAAGACCTTCTGGGTTTGTGAGAAAATGACCCAGGGAAAAGTTTTAAAAAGCTAAAAGGAAAAGTTTTCATACAGTTTAGAGGAGCATGAGATATATACAAATAATTACGGTTAAAATTACAGATCATTTTTATTACCCAGAAAATAGCATTTAAAAAATTTGTGAAGGCCCCATCTCTTAGATAATTAGGTCAACAAGTCAACAACCTCATTTTACAGATGAGAACGTTAAAACCCAGCAAGATCAAGGGATTTGCCCCAAGTCAAGGATTTGCCAGGGGATTTGCCCAAGACATGACTGAGTCGAGGCACCCGGGGCTCCTGAGTCATAGCCTCTTGCTTTCCTCACCAGAACCCACTGCTGTTAGAGCAGGTACCCCACGGAATGGCGTCACTCTGGCTGAGTCTGCTGAAATGTTTGATATCATCCTCTAGACTAGTCATTCTCAGCAAGGAGCGATTTTGCCCTCCTGGAGACATTTAGCATTAAACGTCTGGGACATTAGTCTGAGACATTTTGGGTTGTTACAAGTAGGATAGTGCTACTGGCATCTAGCGGGTAGAGGGCAAGGATGCTGCTAAACATCCTACAATGCACAGGACAGCCCTCCACTACAAAGAATTATCTGGCCCAAAACATCAATAGTGTCCATATTGAGAAATCCTTCCCTATACACAAATTATGTATGTTTTTAGTAGGTTCTGACTCTCAAAAGTACATATAATAGGATTTCACTTTTTTTTCTTTTTTGTGAGGAAGATTGGCCCTGAGCTGAGATCTGTACCAATCTTCCTCTATTTTGTATGTGGGATGTCTCCATAGCATGGCGTGATGAGCTGTGTATAGGTCGGTGCCGGGGAGCCGAACCTGCAAACCCCAGGCCGCTGACGTGGAGAGAACTTAACCACTAGGCCACCGGGCTAGCGCCAGGATTTCACTTTTGAGAGTGAAAGGGAGGACTATTAATAATCCACAAGGACAATAGGTATAAAGAGAAGCTATCCCAGGCAAACTGGGATGTATGTTCATCTTAACTATGGAGTCCCAGGAACTGGCTCAAGGTCAATTCTCTAAAACTCACGTTGGAAATGCTAATTCGCCTAACAAGCAATTTGGTTAGAAATACCTTAAACTAGAGGGGAAGGATCTGAGGGGGGAAGGGGGTAAAGGGACACAAATGTATGGTGACGGATGGAAACTAGACTTGGTGGTGAACATGATGCAGACTATACAGAAACCGAAGTATAGTGATGTACACCTGAAATTTACACACTGTTATAAACCAAGGTGACCTCAACAAAATAAAAAAAAATAATAATAATAAAAGAACTACCTTAAACTATTTACAACAGTTTGCCACCATCTTGGGCTCCCAGCAGAAATATACTTATAGCATTTATTTGCATATTTGCTTGTTCTTTAGTGTTGTCCTCGTGGGGAGGTCGGCAGGAAAGCAAGTGCAGGGAATCTGCGAAAGAACCAGAACCTGGAAAAAATCCTCAATGGCTCCGGGCATGGATCCCTCAGCAGGTTGGTTTTATGGCAGATGGATGACTTGGCAAATTAACCATTCAATCGGTTGGGTTTTGAGGAATTACCTTTCTCTAACTGTTTCCCTAGGAGAGAAGAGGTCCTGAAAAATCAGGCCATAAATTCTTTTACACTGGCTGCGGCAGCTTTGGGAATATTAAACGTGATAAAAGCTCTAAATAGGGGCCTAGTAGTCGGCCTGCCAGGAAACCAAGGATGGGGGCCAATGGTCAAGCTGTTTGGCTATATAGTGAGGCTGAAAAATTGTGGCATCTATGGATTCAGTTAGGAAGGAATCAGATTGTTTTGGGCATTACCACCAAGTCACTATCAAGGCAAGACTGACGTTTTTTAAAAATTTCAATTATTTTGGAACAATTTTAAAAACATGATATTTGTTAGTATATATTGTTGCTTATTCCTAAAAGAAATAAAATTTCTTTTCTCTTCTTTTTCTTTTCTTCCCTTTGACATGTCTCTACACTAGGGAAAGGGATCATGTCACCTGGTTGAGGCCACCTGGTCCTGGAATCATTGAGCCCAGTGTTTAGGCCTCTTCCTTGAAACCCCAAAGTAAAGCACCCCTGTGTGTAAAGATTATTCTGCAGTCCAATTCAGAATTTTCCTCACTCTGTCACCATTCCACAGCCAGCAAGTTTCACTCTGAGCAGAGGCAAATCTGTGACAGTAGAAGGGAATATTAGACAACCTAGATTTTGTTTCACTTTCTCTATGATCCTTGGGTGACTCTATTAGTCACTAGAATTCACAGGCCCATTTATTAAACAAGAAGATTGATGAAAACTGCCAAAAACACAAGGAGGACACTAAAGAACAAGCAAACATGCAAATAAACGCTAAAAACATACTTCAGAAACTTGGATTTGAAGGGAGAAGAAGGAAAAACATGAACATAAAGAAGTGTTGAAAGCATCAAATATTCTTGCAGGGTGACATCTGGATGCCAAAAAATGACACAGATGGCAGAGAAGTCCAGCTGGGGAGAGAAACCAGCCATGAGAAGGAAGGAAAGTGTGGTTGAGGCTGAGTGGGTAAGCTATGGTGACCCTGGTCCCCTGACCTGAGAGCTATGGGACCTCCCAGAGATCTCTCGTTTGCTGTTTCCCCACCCCTGACATCTCTTAGCCAGACCTGACCGCCGTCCACCCCAACCCCTCCCACCTGAAAACCAGAGCAAAAATCTGCACTCCCTCTGTCAACTCACTACATTTTGCATTGCAGTCAGTGGCAAAGTTCTCTCTCTATTTTTCTCTTTCGTCAATAATTTTCCATACTCCAAAAGTCTGGACCAAGGTAACTGTACTTGAGATCAAACTAAACCCAGCATGAATCATAGTCATGAACTTCACGTCTGAAATTTGTGTGGCTGCAGAATAAGAAGTTGTGGGATGGATGAATCTTTCTCGTGTTGACAAAATATTTTTATATAGAGTTTGGGAGCCTCTGGTTAACCTACCTTCGACTGCCAAGATTCCTCTCTCCCATGTCCTGTGCCAAAGGAAGTGGCCACCTCACCCTCACCTGGTGCATTCTTGATTTCACAACTGTTTCCATCTTTTAGCTAATAAGAGTTTCATTCAATATTATTTAAGATTTGAATTTGTTCAGTAACTTACAAATCCATTTTCAGCAACATACGTTGGCAACCCGCTAACGAGAGTCCAGTGGTCTGCTGGAGGTGTCCTTGAGAATGATTAGAAGAAAGAAAATCTTTACTACACAAAGAAATGCACTGTGTACAAAAATAAAAAAGCAACTCGTGCAGCCACATTATGACAATACTCACGGAATCACTTTGATCTCTTCTTTTCCATGTAAAATGTAATCAATGATTTTATAAAAGATGATTTCCTAAGACAAAATGGAAAGATTATGAACATAATTTTATTTCCCAAAGAAAATACTTTTCATTGATGAAGTTATACTTTTAAATTCATTTAAATAGAACCTTATTTCCCCGTCACATTTCTCTGCATAACTACTACCAAACTAATGATGTCCTCATTACAACCCTGTAATAAAACTGGAAATATTATTGGCCATTTATCTACATGAACAAGCCAGTTGAACTAAATTTTAAAAGTTAATTCACCCAAACAGCTTTTAAGGGAATCTTGTTTTTTCTTTTAACTGATTTCCAGAAAGACTTGACTGATAACTTCAGTGGAACAAATCATGTAATTTCTCAAGCTCAGTCAATGTTTTCTCTTCCCAGCTGTACAATGAGCCCTTACCCACTTCCAGCACTGGCTTCTCAGAACAGCTGCCTCAGAAACAGGATTCGGCCAATACACTGTCAAAGCTGGAAGGGACTTGGGAACTAGTCTCTCTACTTCTTTGGGCAGATGAAGAACCTGAGGCCTGGACACAGTCCATCCCTTTACCTTCCCTTTCCTGTGTGCTGGGGACACAGCGGTGAAACACAGTGCCTGTCCTGCGAAGCTTCCTGTCAAGGGGGGCAATAAATCTAACCCCACCCTTCCCTGGAGATTTCAATCCAGCACATCAGAAGAAGGGCCCGGGCACAGTGTGTTGAAAAAGCTGTGCAGGTGGCTCTGATGCGTCCCTCCGCACTGAGAACTTTGGATCCACCAAGCCCTGCCTTTACAGAAAAGGAAACAGGTTAAATAATGAGTTCAGACAAGGGCCACCCAGCTGGCTTGGGGCAGAGCTGGGACTTGAACCTTAGTATCCTAGTCCAGGGCTCTTTCTACTACTCCAAGTTCCCTCAGAAAGTTTCAGGACTAGAACCCAGGCCTTCTCCGGCTAGTGCTTTTTCCTCTATGCACGGCTTCCTCTGGTTTTGGCATGGATGTCATCAAGGAAAGACGTCTGCACTTACTCTGCCATCTGGTGTCTTTGGACCTTTATAAGGCTCAACTTCTCCAAGCTTGATTGGCCATTCATCATAGAACTCCTAGAGGCAATTAAATTAAACGTTATTAAACAAACTGTTCCATAACCTACCATATTTTATATGAATTTCCTGTGTTTGCATATTTTATGTTAATTTATATAATTAGGGAATTTTAGAGCTGGAAAAGACCTATAATTCCCAGCAGTACTGCTCATGAACTCATGACAGTGGACAAGTCACTTAACCTTTTTCATCTGTAAAATGTAGCTCATGATAGAACTTATACTAAAGGGTCTTTGTGAGGATTAAATGAATAATACAGACCACCTATCCTGACACATAGCGAAAAGTACTTAACAGATAGCAGCTCTTTTACACATAACTAAACTAAATACAGATAGTTTAAGAGGCTTGGTAAGGTCATGCAGAGTGGTCAACAGTGTTGTCTGTCTCCCCAACATCCGTTCTCTTCCTCTTCCTTGCTAACAGAACCTGGTTTTACTTGGGTATCAGGTGGTAATTTGTTCAGGGAAGATGGGTCTTGCACAGCCCATGAGCGGTCAACAGGAGGTGCCTGGGATTAATTTGAGGGCAGGTATGTGGCCCAGTTGTGGAGAATGAAAGAAGGGGAGAAGTCTGCCAAGGGGCTTCTGTGGAAAAGTGTTCCTCGGATGAAAGGTGATGAAAGCGACCTTCGTAAGAAATTTTGTCATGTTTGTGTGTCATGCCTTGAGCTGCAGCAGCCATCTTGCCACTGTAAGAGGAGACCTCACCAGCATGCTGAAGGTAGTAGGCACCTTGCCAGGAAAAAATGGGGAGCACCTGGGACTTTGATGACTGTACTGAGCTCCGGATTAACCAGCCTTGGAACTTCCCTACCTTGGGATTCTTGTTAAATGCAGTAATAACTGTCTTGTCGTTAATGATGCTTTTAGCTGGGTCTGATGTTACATGCAGCCAAAAACATCCTAACCAATACACTCAGCTAGAAAGTCCCAGAGCCACGATCAGAACTCAGCTCTCCTGCTTGGTCTTATATTTATCCACTTAGAACAATTACTCTGAAAAAATAACTTCCAATCACATGGGTAATAAATGATATGGTATTCATTAGTTATGTTGAACTAGGAGCGCTCCAACAGAATTAATTAATTAAGGTGAGAAATGAACATTATATTGTATGTGAATAATATTAAGTATTTCATTATTTCTACTTTACAATAACTTTAACTTTTCAGAATATAAAGTCTCAAATTGATACTCTCATTTATTATGTCCTACTATGTGCTAGATACTATACCTATACATAAACAGTCTGTAAATAATCCTTAACCCTCACAACTGATAAGAGAGACATCCTCATTTTACATATGAGTAAACCAAGAGTCACGGAGGTTAAAAGACTGAAAAGAAGAACAAAGTCAGAGAAATGACACCACCTGACTTCAAGACTTACTATAAAGCTACAGTAATCAAGACAATGCAGCATTGGTGAAAGAACAGACAAATAAATCAGTGGAACAGAATAGAGAGTGCAGAAATAGACCCACACAAATATAGTCAACCGATCTTTGGCAAAGGAGCAAAGGCAATAGAGAAAGGATAGTCTTTTCAACAACTGTGCTGGAACACTGAAAATCTAAATGCAAAAGAGATGAATCTAGACACAAACCCTACACCTTTCACAAAAAAATAACTCAAAATGGACCATAAACCTAACCGCAAAATGCAAAACTATAAAACTTCTGGATGATGACACAAGAGAAAATCTAGGTGAACTTGGGTTTGGTGGGATTTTTTAGGTACATCACCAAAAACACAATCCATGAAAGAAAAAATTGAAAAACTAGACTTCATTAAAATTAAAAACTTTTGCTTTGCAAAAGATACTCTTAAGAGATTGAAAAGATAAGCCACAGATTGGGAGAGAATATTTTCAAAACACATATCCAATAAAGAACTTGTATACAAAATACACAAAGAACTCTTAAAACTGAACAATAAGAAAATAAACACTCTAATTAAAAAGCAGGGTGGGGAGCCTGTCCAGTGGCGTAGTGGTTGGGTTCTCATGTTCCATTTTAGCAGCCTGGGGTTGGCCAGTTTGGATCCTGGGCACGGACCTGCATATCACTTATCAAGCCATGCTGTGGCAGGTGTTCCACATATAAAATAGAGGAAGATGGGCACAGATGTTAGCTCAGGGCCGATCTCCCTCAGTAAGAAAAAGAGGAGAAAAAGAGGAGGACTCATGGCAGATGTTAGCTCAGGGCTAAACTTCCTTTAAAAAAAAGTGGGCAGGGGGCCGACCCTGTGGCTGAATGAAGTTTGCACACTCTGCTTTGGCGGCCCGGGGTTTGCCAGTTCAGATCCCAGGTGTGGACCTACACACCGCTCATCAGGCCATGCTGTGGCAGGCGTCCCACACAGAAGAACTAGAACGACTTACAACTTGGATATGCAACTATGTAGTGGGGCTTTGGGGAGGGGGAAAAAAACATTGGCAACAGATATTAGCTCAGGGCCAATCTGAGAAAGAAAGCAAACAGTTTGAAAATTTTTTTAAATTTAAGAAAGTGGGCAAAAGATCTGAACAGACATTTCACCAAAGAGGATAGAAAGATGGCAAGTAAGCATAAGAAAAGATGCTCCACATCATATGTCATCAGGGAAATGCAAATTAAAACAATGAGATATTACTACAAACCCATTAGAATGACTAAAATTCAAAATACTAACATCACCAACTGCTGATGAGGATGTGGAGGAACAGGAACTCTCATTCATTGCTGGTGTCAATGCAAAATGGTACACCTCCTTCAGAAGATAGTCTGGCAGTTTCTTACAAAGCTAAACATAATCTTACCATACAATCCAACAATTGCATCCCTTGGTATTTACCCAAATGAGTTGAAAACTTATGTCCACACAATGTTTATAGCAGCTTTATTCATAATTGCCCCAAACTGGAAGCAACCAAGACATCCTTCAGTAGGTGAATGGATAAATAAACTGTAATATATCCAGAGAATTAAATTTTATTCAGCAATAAAAAGAAATGAACTATGGAGCCATAGTAAATGCATATTACTAAGTGAAAGAAGTCAATCTGAAAAAGCTATATACTGCATGAATCCAACTATATGACATTCTGGAAAAGGCAGAGCTATAGAGGCAGTAAGATAATCAGTGGTTTTGAGGAGTTTGGAGAGGGGAGAGAGAGATGAAGAGGTGGAGCAGAGCGGATTTTTAGAGTAGGGAACCTATTCTGTACGATAGTGTAATGGCGTGGGTGACACAACGCATTTGTCAAAACAGAGAACTGTACAACCCGAAGAGTGAAGCTTAATGTGAACTATGGACTTTAGTGAATAAAAGTAAGGTATCAATGCTGATTCGTCAGTGGTAACAAATGTACCACACCAATGCAAAATGTTAACAATAGGGGAACCTAGGGGGAGGGAGAAGAGGACGTATATGGCAACTCTGAACTTTCTGCTCATCTGTTCTGTAAACCATAAAACTTCTCAAAAAAAATAAAATCTATTAACTAATTTAAAAACGAGAAGAAAAGACTTGGTCAAGACACATACGGCTAGGAAGCAGAAGAGCCAAGATTCAAGTCTAGATCTTTTTTGCTCCAAAATGTACACTTTCCCCTCTGTACCATACCTTCTTGTCACTGGTTCTTGTGATCTAGCATGATTATTTACATAGTATATCCACTTTTTAATGGATCACATTTCATGTGATGTCTATTTTATAGGTGACTTTAGGTGAGACAAATGTATGGAACAGTGAGAACCTTCTCCTTGGTCATGTCCAGCAGTCCAATGGAGTATCGTTCACAGTTCAGGTACGTTCTAACAGTGTAGAGAGCTTTGTGAAACTGCCGCTCAACATCTGTGAGCTCTTCAAACACCTTATTGGCTGACCACATAAGGATCTGAAAGTAGGTATTGAAAAGAAAACAGTTAGAACAAAATACACTGTGAAGAAATGGAGCATTAGCCAGAAGAAACAGGAGGTGCATCACAGAGCGAATACATATCACTAAACAATGCAATTCCATTTTTGAGCACGAACACATCCGACAAACCACTCAGATGCTCTAAGTGGGACAATGAGTAGACCTTTGCAAGGCTGTGGGTTTACGAAGGGAGAAAAGTCATGATTGGTCCCCACGTCCACATGTTCCGCTCCAAAGGTGAAGTGATCTAAAATTGGATGCAGACACAGTCCCTGGGCATGGGGTCCTGTACTGGCAGCACATTGGCTCCTGCCAGCCCTGGGAGAAAGTCGCATGCCTCTTTCCATGCATCCTGGACTAGTTAGAAGTAACCTTACCTGGAAAGTTAGAACAGGAGGGCACCTTGGAATCCCTCCATGCTGACCTCCCTCCCCCCATTGTACTGATGAGGAAACTGAGGTGCAGAGAGTGGTCCAGACTCAGGTATCCTGGCTACCAATGTTCTCCTTTATCCCTTTGGCTCAAGGAGGCAAAAGACTTCAGAGGAGTGATTTGCTTCTCAAATTAATAGCTTTACTATGTACTAGCAACTGCTAAGAGCTTTATGTGAACTAATTCATCTTTTAATAGTCACAACAACCAAGTGGGGTGGTACTATACATATCCTCATCATCTCATAGATGAAGTAACCATGGCTACCCAGGATATAAACTGAAGAAAGGAAAGCTAGTTATACATACAGATGGAGGGTCAGAGAGGTAGTGCTGGTGGGGGGTCAGACGACAAGAGGACACCTGGGATTGAAGTCAGAGGATCTGCTCCATGTGGTTTAAACCCCTCCAAGGGCTGGGAGGGGCCTGGGCTTGTCATCTCTGGGTGCCTTTGTCAGAACAAATCAGCATGGAGTGATTAACATCCCCTTCCCTTTACCTGGCTTCTTCGGGATTCAATACTGTACAAGTAGTTGGTATGATGAAACTTTAGGATGATAGAAACAAAGTTGATGTATTTGGAAAAGACCTACAGACAGCAGAGAAAAACAAATTAGGTGTGATATCTTTCTTTCTGTTATACAACAAATAAATTTCCTGAGCCTCTGACAGGATTCCAAGAGTTAGCATTACCTCTTCATCCTGCTTGGAAAATTCAGATGCATTTACTTTGTTGACTGCCATAATCACAGCAAGAACCTCCTTGCCCATCACGATCGGGGTTGCCAGCAGGTTCCTGGTGACATACCCAGTTTGTTTGTCCATGAAGTCAGAAAAATGGCTGTTCTGAAAGATACATTCACACATTGGCCAAAGCATCACAGAATCACGGACTGCAGATCTAGGAATGGCAACAGATCATTCTCTCTAATTGAAGTAGTACCAACAGATAAGCAGGGCCTCAGCACAGAGGTCCCAAACATTCCCACCCACTCCCATCCTAAGATTGCATAGAATGAAACTGCCCATTTCAGAATGAGCATTTCCCATCTAGCTATGGCCTACCTAGGGTAGGCTGAGATTGTGCCGGGAGAAAAGAGGTGATGTCATGGCCGAGTGGAAAGTGTGCTAAGAGGGGAGGGAAAGATGCAGGATTACAATGGACAGAAAGCATGTGCTGGGAAGGCGAGCACGGCTGAGATTAAAGGCATATTTCATAGAGCTCTTCTTTTTAATTACCAAAGTAAAATGTGCACTTGAAACCAGTCAATTCCCCAAATTCCTACTCTCACCTACTTGTGGAAATCAGTGTTAACTGCTCAGTATGTCTCCTTCTAAGCCTTTCTCCGTGCTTGGACAAAGGCTTTTTCTTTTCTTTCTTAATAAAATTTTCCTTTCTACTTTTATACAATACTTTCATCGCTTAACAATATCTGAAGGACTTCCCTCCAGACCGATGCATATGGATGTGAACGCGTCTTCCAGATTCTTGCACACCACTCCACAGTGTGGGAGCTCCATGATCCTCTCAACCACCCTCCATCGATTCAGCCTATTTATAGTTTTCCCCTCTGCAAACAACGCTGCACTAATCATTCTTGCTTTTATTTTCATGTGATAGATTCCCCAAGGTGGAAATCCTTTTTGCTGGATCAACAGGCATATATAGTTTTTACTTACACAGATTACTTTTACAAAAGGTTGAAATTTTTGCTCCCAGTGGTCATGTGTGAGAGGACCACCCTCTTGCCAGCACCAGATACTTTGCAGTTTTTCAATGTTTTACCAAGCTAACGTCTTTCATTTATACTTTTTATTTCTTTTTGGGGGGAAAAGAAGTGGATCATCCCAGACATAAGCTTCATGTGGTAGATGCAAGAGATGATTCTAACACACTGACCATGGAAAGGGCAGAGTGATGAGTCTGGAGAGACGCACAAATAGAAGGCTTGAGAAGAAGGTCAAGGATGGCAATTATCTTTTTAGCTGTAATGTAGAGGAATACCCACTCTAGATGAGGGTAGACTCAGCCTTCTGTGGGTCCTTACCATCTCCCCTTTGAACCTGAGTCTTCTTCAAATAGAACTGTATTTTCAGCCTGACTCTGAGACTTATTGGCCAAAATTAACATGATGTTTCTTTCACAAGTCATGTTATTTTCATTTCCCTCTGTTGGTGGTGCTTTTAAAAGCAGCACAAACCTTGGAGGCTGGACTCCGTTGCTTCCCAAAGTAAAAATGTGAGAGTCCACTGGTGTGTGATTTCCAGGCCAGAATTTCCACCAGGGAGCAAGACCTGCCTGGTCAACAGAGCTCGCAGCTCAGCCCAGAGCAGCAGTCCCGGGCTGTGCCTCAGAATCATCTGCAGATAAATGCAGATTCACAGACCTCACAGCAGACCCACCGAATCCTAATCTCCTAGAGTGGAATCTGTCTTCCCCAGGGAACTGTACGTTTAGGGAGTGAATCACTCCAGTGGAGGATCCCTGGAAATGGGACCATTCACAAAGAAAATGTGAGACACCATGGGAGTCAAATGCAGCCCCTCACCCCGGATCTCTTCTGTACCTTTCCCAAAGTGGAGCCACACAAACAACTCTGTATTTATTTAGGAGACAGCATGGTGAAGAAGGTTCTGGAATCAGGCTTCCTCAGCTGAAACCAGGCTTCAATTTACTATCTGTGTGATCCTGGGCATGCTACTTAGCCTCTGAGTCCCCTTTTTTTAATCTGAAAGTGGGATAATGATATTATCTACTGTCTAGAGTCCCTGTCGTGAAGCTAGAATAACATAGCAAGACTAGAGCACTTAGAAAAGTGTCTGACACAGAGTACGCGCTCAAGAAATTTTGGGAAGAGAAACGGGGATTTTTTGGGCCTCCCTGGATGAGAAGTAGTTCTCTTTTGCAAGTTCTATTTTGTATCTAGTTCTAGCTTTTCTAAACATTTCTAATCACTGAAGAAGTTAGATGCTCTTAGCTGATGAGGCCTCCTATGCCCAGGAGCACACTTCCTCCAGAGGGTCAGCTCCCTGCCCCCAGCCATCAAAAGCCACCTTTCTTTCCTAACTCCTCTCTCGGTTACTTCTCTCTGCTTCCTGTAGCATCTTCACCATCAGGCCAGGATGTCTCTAGACATTGTTAGGTTCTTTCTCTTAATCCACTGCTTGCCCAGGCCAGCTCGTATTTCATTTTCCTCTTAATCTAGTACCCATTACAGATGGTGATCACCTTCATTTACACAGCAATTCTGGGCACTAAAAGAATAATCAAAATGCCAGGAACACACACCATGGGATGGAGCCAGGCAACATTTCTTTGCAAACACACTTCACTCTGCAGCTTCAACATTTGATCCTATTTTATTCTAGATTCTAAACACAAGGAAATGTTCTTAAGTTCGATTGGAAGTTTGGAGAAAATGGCTTATAAGTTTCAAAATGTAATGCTTGCTTATTATCGTATCAGAAAACCCTGGATAAAATCACCCATCAGGTGAGATGAGGCTTTCTAGTTTTTTATTTTCACTTGAGCAAACAATCCTTTGTGACGTTTATTTGAACAAATCCTGTATTTCTCGGATTAAACTCCCTCAATGATCCTTCTTCAAAGAAGCCACTGAAGGCAAGTGGAGAACACTGTTTAGAGCAGCAGGAGGCCTGGACCCCTCATCCAGTCTCAGCATCGTTAAATTCTGATTAAATACCCTTAACCCTTGAGATCAGGAGTCAGAAAGAGAGGCGGGAAAGCAGAGAGCGGAGAGAGAAAAGGGAGCTATAAGCACTCTGTTAATTATTGAAAACTCAGGACTTCTCCCATGGCTTTCTTTTAAACCACAGTCAGAATGAGAACCACCCACAGTATTAATCAACAGCTTTCCCAATAGAAAAAGAAATGATTAACTTGAAAAGGATTTCTCTCAGTTTCCTGTTATTAAAAGTTTTTCTGCCTTTAACCTGTTTTAAAAACAGGCAATAATCATTGACCATTTTTTGGCCGCCCACACCCAGTCCCCAAAACCCCTCGTGGCATAAATATAATGCTATCATAGCTGTCATTTATTAAGCACCTACTAGGCGTCAGGCACTTTATGTACATTTAATTTGTACATTTGGTGACGTCCATTTCTCGGGTGCAGAAACTCAATCCATCACACAGTTACCTAGTCTTACACCTGGATCTGTGCCCAGGTCTGTCTGAGCCCGACGCTCTCATCCTACACCGTGTGGCTTCCATGTTACCACCTTCATAGACCTCCTATGTCAGGAGTGTCTGGCTCTGTCTCTTTGCCTAGGTGTGAGAAGTCCTTTCCTCACCTGCACCCACACTGCCAACCAGAGAGAAGTCGTGTGTAGTCAGAGGTGTGGTAGAAAGAGGGAGGCCACAGAAGACCAGAGTTATGGTCTCAGAACCACCACATCCTGCCTAATTGACTTGAGAAGATTCCTACATATACAGGATGGAAATAAAAATATGGTCCTTGCATTCTGCACAGGGTCTTTGTCAGAATCAAATCAGATCAGGAGTGAGAAAATACCTTATAAATTGTCAAGTGCAATGAAAAGTTACAGAATTAATAGAAATTTCCTTTAAAACATCGGTTTCCATCTCCTTTCTCTTTGCAGATTTTATGACAGAAACTAAGTGTGGCAAAACTGCAGGGATGTGGGGTAGCGTGGAAAGAGCACTGGACACAGAGAGAGGAGGCCTCGATTCTATTCCAGCCCTCCTCATTCACTGACCACACCATGGACTCAGGGAGAGATACAGCTCCCATGACCTCAGCTTCCCGTCTGCCCCAGGAAAGAGTTGGACTAAAGACTCTGGGAGCCCTTTCCATCTCTAACGTTCTGCAATTGACTGGAAATTCACTTCCTCTTCCTGCATCTGCTCCCCCAATAGACCAGCGGTTTTCAGCATTGGCTACATAACAGAATCTCTTAGACAGCTTTTCAAAAATACGAATGCCTGTGCCCCAACCTCTGCGAGTCTGGTGTAATTACTCTATTGAGAATCTTAGACACTAGTATTTTTTAGAAAGATCCCAATTTGATTTATGGTGCATCCAGAGCTGAAAAGCACCACTCTAGGGGGAAAAAAATGCCTAGAAGCAGTAGAAATGGAGAACAAATTAGGACTTTGTCTCTCCTTTGAGCTTAGGAGGGTGCCTGTCTTCAACACGTAGGTCTCCGTGCCACATGCAACAGCCAGGAGTCCTGAGGAATGAGGAGAAGGGAGAGACGAGACCCTCCCCGCCTCCCCCCCGCTCCCCTCCCCTTACTGCCCTGTCCATGCAGTGACTCTCACCATGGACAGCAACAGACCAAGGTCATCTGATCTTTTAGGCAGCTCTATTCTATTATTTTCACCTCAACTTTGAGAACTGGGCTCATTAATAAAATATTATGGTAAAAATCTTTTTGCCCAACTCTTCTCTAAAACGCTTTTTCAGAAAAAAATCTTGAATGTCACTTTCTTAAGTTTGATGTCCTAGTAATTTTCATGATGGCCTCCCTTGGAGACTGGCAAGAAGTGTATTCCCATGAGAAAACCTCAGGGTGTGTGGGCATAGCCTCCTAACTGGTGTCCAGAGAATTTTGCCTGAAGGGTGCGAATCAGTTTAGTCGCCTAAAGCAGCTGTGGTCAGCCTCAAAAGCCAACTTCAACTAGCTTAAACTCACTGGAGGGAGGGATCGTAAAGGCCTGAGCACCCTATGGTGCCCACGACAACCCTTGCCCCTGAGGGCTGGCCGGTGGTTGTTTGCCGAGTGTTGCTAATGTTTGACAGCTCCTGCGCCTTATGGATCTGTGCAGCCCTCCTCCTGTAATCAGCTTCAGGAGCCACGTAGGGTATTATCCTCCCCACTCCAGCTGCCCCCTTCACAAGCAAGCAATAAACCCCGGCACAGAAAGCATTTCAACTCCGTTCCATCGTAATCGACGTCTCCCCTTTTGTTAACAGTAAATCATAATAACGGGGTCCCTGTGTAGGAAAAGGGCTGGCAGGAGAAACTCCAGGCTGTGCCTATGGTTATTGCTGTGCAGAGGGATTATGGGCGACTTGCATTTCCTTCTTTTTGTTTATTTCTATTTTCTAATTTGTCTAAAATGAACATGTATTGCAGTGGTAAGAAGAAAGAGTTAATTTTTCTGTTTTCAAAAGAGCATGACAATGCCTTGTATTTCTACAGTATGCTGTTGTTTTAGGAAGGGTCCAAATGTCCTATTTACATGCTTGGAATTTATTCGTGATAGATCTGAGTTATGGGGGGTTGGCATGGTCAACTGCACTTAATCATTACCTAAACTCACATTTCTAGTGATCTCAATGTGAACACCTGAACTTTCAAATGGAATCATTTTTTCATTTTGCACATTTGGTCTCTAGCTGAAAGAATCTATTTATGAGCCAATCCATCCCAAAGAAATGAGTGTCTTCAAAGGGTTGGGAGTGAGAGGCGTGGGGAGCAGTTCAAGAGTCTTGGCATCTGGCCTGTTGGCTGATCTCCGCAGCTGGCAGCCTGCTTTGCGGTGTTGTTCAGAAGGATAGTGCCCAGAGCATGGAGCTCTAAGAGAGCAGGTGTGGAAGGTACCAGGCCCAGGGAGGTTGCCCAATAAAACACCAAACGCTACCTGGGACATACTTACCCTACAAAGTTATTCATTGTTGATCTGAAATTCAAATTGAACAGGTCATGTTGTATTTTTATTTGCTAAATCTGGCGGCTCCCTGCCTGGATGCTCCTCTTCCCTCCTGCCCCCACTCCCCAGGTTAGGGCCAATCAAAGCCACAAGCATGGCCCCCTGAACCCAGTTCTCTTTCCCATTGTTCTTCCCCCACCGGCCATCACCTCATCTCCACCCCACTGTCTTCAGGTCACCTACCTTTTTCACATCTGGGACATTAAGGGCTTTCTTCGTGTGAGCCGCCCAACCCACTATCCCGATGTCCAATGGAAACACAGCTTCTCTGTCAGGGACCACCAGGTTGTCCTCAAACTTGGAGGTCGCGGTGACATCGAGTAGCTTGGAGGCCACCTCGGGGGTGCCGTTGCGGGCCCGGCATATGAACATGCTGCAGCGGTCGGCCCCCAGCAGCTGCGCCAGCCGTTGCAGGGCCCTGTGCGCCGTCAGCTCGGCGCTGCCCGTCTCCTCCTGCACCAGCAGCAGCAGCTCCGCGCAGAGGGCCGCCTCCTCCGCCGCTGTCAGCCCCGGGAAGGCCCCGCTGTGCTCAGAGGTTTCTCCTGGCGCCGCCACCCGCAGCTTCTTGTCGAAGTACTCCTTGGCAAACTGAGGGTTGTCCTCGAGATACTTCTCCACGGCCTCTTGGCTGATGTCACCCATGGCGTGGCTTGCCTTGATGCTGTTGTTCAGAAAGAAAGACCCTCAGAGTACTACCCGGGGCATAGTGCCAAGAAGGAAATACATCCTGGTCAAAGTTACTGAAGAACCCCTAAGTAGTACCTCGTGGGATCCCCAAAGGCCCAGCGGAATGGTTGCTTAGCAGAGCTTTCAAACTGCCTGTAACTTGGGATGTGACAGAAGGTCCTGGCTTAGAATGAGATTCTGGAAGCACAGGATTAACGAGTTCTTCAGGTCACGAAATCCCTAAGCATTATTAGCTCGTAAGTCCCTAGAGAATCCTTAGAGCATCTTAGCTCAGTCAGCCAAGTGGCAAGTCGAAGTAACTATTTCAGAAAAATAATTGAACGTTGGCTGCTCTCCACCGCAAGAAGTATCGTGGACATATCCATTAATTATATTACATCAGCATAGATTGACAATTTGACTTGTTCTTTCATGATAGCTTTCTGTAATGAAACTATTTAGACCTCGGAAGTGTGTTTGTTTATATGGCAACTTTAATCAACCTTTGGGGAAAACGGAAGCTTTTTAGCATCAATGCAACATAAAATGGAATATTAATCTTTCATTTTCTTAAAAGTCTTATGATCTTCCAGCTTACTTGGACTACTCTTTCTCTAAAGCCCTCACCTCTCAATTCCCCTCATTTAAAAGCTTGACCTTAGAAGTGTTTTAAAGGAACAAACCTTGGGCTTATTCTGGAGAGGCGAACATAGCACAACATTTGCCTGTGGGCCAAGCCTAATCAAGCCCCAATTTCAACAATAATCCTTGTCAAAAAACATGATCGTAAAAGGCAACCCATGCAGCTGCTAACTGGGTTTTCCTGCTGGGAATATTAGTTTGGATTTTGTTTTCAATAGTAATAGCCAGACCTCATGCAGTTTTGTTCCAAGGTACAGTCTGTTAAATCTACTGGATAAAACCTGTTTTGTCTGTTGCTAGGATCTTTAACGTCTCAGGGGCTTCTGGAGTGGAAAGAACACTTACCACTACTTAGTTTTGTTTAATGTTCAGTTTATGAAGCTTTTACATCGATTAAGCACATTTTCCCAAATATTTAAACACTATTATGCAACTAATAAGTCAAACTACCCACTTCATGAACCAATTTCCTTGAATATTTAAATGCTAATTTCAAACTTAGTCAAGGTCTTTTAAGCATTTCAATAAAGCTACAAACATTATATAACAGATCCTCTTGAATGAAAACACACGTTACAGTGACTCTAAAAGTTATTGTTATACCCATGTTTAAGTCCACTTCAAAAATAGCAACCCGATGGGTGTCGTTTACTTCTCTAGACTTAACGTTTACCTCACTGGAGTGATAAGAGTCCTATCAGACAAAAAAGAAGAAGAGATCCGTTGAGGTTGCTGGTTCCCGGTCATGAAATGAGAGATTCTTGGTCAGAACCTGGTCTTCCCAGGGGGACAGAACTCAAACTGGCATTTGCGGAGCTGTCACGTCTTGTGGTTGAGGCCGCTCACTACCTCAGAGGGCCTTGTTAAGCACATGCCTTTTCTTGCGCCTCCCTCTGTCACACCCGCGTCTGGTCTCCAGAAGGTCCTCTTCAGATTACTATTTACTTCATAACATCCTATTTGCATCTCATTACAATTAGAATAATGCAGAGGTTTATCTCCTGAGACAAAGGAGTTGAGTCACCTGATGGTCCCTCCTATGGGACTGTCATCTTCTTCTAACACCGTTGTGGACACTCTTTCTATCTAGTTATTTTGTGCAGCTACGGTGCAGTTCCTACTTCTCTCAAGAGTGTGTGGTGTGCTCACAGTTCCCCGATTCCATCCTTCCCTCTTTAAACAGAGAGAAAAACACATCTCTGTATTTCATATGCAGATTTATACTTAAGAGGAAAAACCAAAAAACCCATATATGTTAATATTCCTCTACTCATAGAAATGCAAATTAATTTAAAGATGAAACATACGCTATTATAGTCAGCATTCTTTTGTTTTTATAACTACTTCTGGATTCACTCATTTGCTCATTTTTTGAACACATCTATTGATTGTCCATTATAAGCAGACACCATACCAGCTCCTGTGGCAGAGACTTCATATTCCCCCTTATCTGATTCTCCTCTCCTCCTAGTTATGTAGGAAGATTATACTCTCTGCCCTCCTGCCTTGGTAGGGCCACATGACTAATTTTGGCCTATGGGTTGTGAGCATAAATGTCCCTTCCAGGTAGGAACAATTACTTGCCAGTGTGAGACCCTCCAGCTCTCCCTTCTCCCTACAGCCACATCAGTTCCAGATGGAGGGGCCTCCTCAATCCCAGAGTGAGGATGTCATGGAACAGGGCCCCCTGCACACCTGACATGGACATGCATCATGAGTGAGAAATAAACCTCTTTTGTTTTTAGCCTTTGAGATATGAGGGTTGTTTGTTCTGCAGCATAACCAAGTCAATCCTGACTGTTACACTTCTACTGCGGGGGAGGCAGAGGACAATTATTCAAAGCCTTGGTCCCAGCTTTGCAAGCACTTGTGGTGTAGTAAGGGAGATAAGACTAGAATATAAAAAGCTATGAAACATAGAACAGAATATGATTAATCCCAGAAGTGTGGTACATTCATAGGACTATGAGAGTACGCATGGTATAGAAATGGGATATGGATACAGGATAATATCTACAGCGGGTGGAGATAGGGTAAATCGAGTGTGTTCCGGGTGGTGGTATCAGCAGAAGCAATAGCATGGAGTGTAGAGTAACAGGGGAAACAGTGAAAGATGAATCTGCAAAGTTGGGGTGGGCCCTGATTACAGGGGCCTCAAAGGCTAGACTGAGCATTTTGAACCCTGGAAAGTTTTGGGGGTAGGAAATGACATTATTAGGGTTCTTCTCTACAAACTTAATCTGGTTGTACTTAGGAGATGAATTGGAGAAAAGAAATATTGGACATTGGGATACAGATTAAGAAGCTATCTTGCATTTGGTTCATTATCAAATACCTAAAAATGTGTATAGGCTTTGACCCTGCGATTCTGCTATTATGAATTTATCTTACAGAAATAATTAAGAATATATGTGATTAATGTAGTTACAGGGATGTTCATCAAAAGAGTGATTATAAAAGAAAAAGATTAGAAGTAGCCTAGATATTCAATACTCGGAGGCTGAGTAAATTAATGGCCTTATATCCATAGAATAGGAAGCTGTACATTTATTAATAATCCTATTATATTAATACTCCTATTAATATGAACAAATATTTATGATATGCAGTAAATTACAAGATAGTATTGTAGTACAATTCCACATGCACACACACATATCTGGAGGTGCATATTCCAAAATGTTAACAGTGATTATTTCAAAGGGGTGGGACTCAACACATTAATTTTTTCTTCTTTTTTGCTTACGTGATTTTTCTAAAGTATCTACAATGAATATACACATAATTTATGTAATAAAGAAATTCATTCATTCATAAACAAAGTTTTTAAGGCTATTTTGATAAGCTATGAGTGAGGTTGCTTGGGAATGAAAAAGAAAGGGGAAAATGTAAGACATAATTCCAGGCAACAATTGACAGGACTAGGCAATTGATCAGTTAGGAAAAGCAAGCAGAAAAGAGGGGTCCTTAGTGACTGCTTTGTGTATTGGACGACATTTTATAAAGACAAAGTTTCTTTTTTTAAGGGAAATATTGGAAGCCTGTCTTTTAGCACATACACACAAAATCCTTCTCCTTTTCTCCTATCCTGAGTGAGTGCCATCATCCCCACGGCTCTTCTTCCTTGGGGTCCTTGCAGAGTCTTTGGCCTGTGCTGACAAGGCCTTTGTGTCTCTTATTGGCTGTTCAGTCCTAATCATTAAAAAACCCCCAAATTTAAGAAAATGTAGTATTTTTTAAAAATTACCAAACAGACCACTTAGAATGATTTTTTCACACTATAAAATAATTGTTGACTTTGTTAAACTTCACTGCTTAATTTTTATGTCAGCATTTCCAGTTCATTTAAAGCAGAGATTTTTTTTTTAATAGAGCATCAACTGGTAAACAGAATGAGGAAAAAGGTCAATATCTTAGATTTTACAGACATTGACAATCATTTATTTAGATAAAACATCTCTGAAACAACAACTAAATCGATGCGAAAACTCCATTCTATTTACACAGAATGTTTTTAGAAATATAAGCCCCAAGGTAATGATAATAAAAAATTCATCCAAAAAATAGTTGACATTATAATATATAATCTGTACCAGCAACTCTTCTAAGACCCTTACACATAGTATCTCATTTAATTCTTACAACAACCTTATGAGGTAGGTATTATTATTATCTGTATTTTACAGGTGAGAAATGGAAGCACAGAGAAATTAGGTAACTTGTTCAAGTTCACGTAGCTAGTAAATAATAGTGACCTACCCCAAAACTACCGGTTTAAGTAGGATGAAATTAAACAGTGCACCTATAAGTTGTACAAGACATCTTACTAACTGCTACAGAGAAATATACAAAGACCTTTCCTTTAAGGAATTCAAAATCTAGACATACAAAATGTTAAACAACAATACAAGAGTTAAATGAAAATTCCAGGAAATTCTTTTTAAAAGCCTACGAATATACCAAAGAATGATTTAACTACCTTAAACTTTCTACTTAACAAGTTTACATTTTTCAGTAATATACTATATTAACGAACACATGTAATATTTAATTCCATCATTGCTAAAATTTTCCACTACAGTTAACTATTTCTACAGGAAGTAATGCTTATGTAACAGTCAAAAAATATGCCTATGAGGTTGAAGTACCAATGTGAAACTAACAATAATATCCTGGATTAACTCAGTGAATTTTGGATCATTATATTGAATCCACTCTTCAGCTCCACCTGAGCCAAATTAGCTGTTCCTACCACTATTCATCACCAAAAGGCATCCTTTCAAGGCAGGGATTTCAAGCACATCCTGGCAGCCAACTTCAAAGGGCCCTTTCACCTTGCTCATTTGCTCTAACAAGAGTCTCTGCCTACACCTAGTTGGTTAGTATGACCAGGTATCTTAGAGATAATTCAGTTGGTAGGATCCATGTTATTTTCAACTAAATTGATGAAACTGACTGATGGGTTTATATCCACTGAAAAAAACTTACTGAAAAAATTAGTTTGACTCTTTCTACCTGAAAATGTTGGCTGAATAACTAATCTTTTCATTTTCCCACCAATCATTTTGGCATCTTTTAAATGGAGTCAGAAGATAAATGCTACCCAATTTCCTTGTTTTTCATTTGTCTTGGCCTCTCTGTCAGGATGTGGATGTAAATGTCAGTTTGTAAAATGGAGCTGGTTGGAAATGCTTGATCTTTTTGAGGGTAGGGACATAAATTTCTTCCATTAGCTGTTCTTTCAATTATGGTAAAACGTTCTTCAATGTTTCCCGGGAGTTAGTGACTTGTTTGCTGCTGTATTAGTTAAGGTAATACTAACTTCTGTTATAGGTAAGCCCCCAATCTCAGCAGCTTAATCCAATGGCAGTTTATTTCTCATTCAAATCAAGTGAATCACTGGTGGGGTCCCAGGCTGATGAAGCCTCCACCAGCAGGCAGATGAGGGAAGACAGGAAGCAAGGACAACTGGACGGGCAGCTTTTATAAGCTCTGTCTGGGAGTGACACGCAGCACTTTTGTCCACATCCCATCTACCAAAACTTAGGCACATGGCCTTATAGAGCTGCAGGAGGCGGGTAGGTGTCCTCTGGCAGGGCAGCTTCTTCCCAATAAGCTACACTATGGAAGACGGATGCAAATTTTTTGGTGGAAGAACAGCTAGCCACCTCTGTCAGAAGTGCTCAATCCTGAGAAATTATATTTTAGAAAGAGTAATCTCTGACCAGGTCTTTTTAAATAAATATTTTATGAAGCTTACCTAAAGTGACTGATTTCAGTAAAACAAATTAAATGAATATTTATTGATTGAGCACCTACTATGTGCAAGTCTCTTGATAAATCCCATGGAAAAGTTGGAGGGATGGATACCAAGATGAATGAAATATGGTCTGTCTCTCCATGAAGTATGGGAAGGAAATGAACTTCTGTGTATATTATCTACGATCCATAGATATAATTTAAAACATAATTTTATTTCTGGAAGAAAAAGAAAAATGTTTGCAAAGAGAATATTTGTTTTATTTTCAGATTATACATTTTCACTGTAAGAAAATTTGGAAAATACAAAAGATTGCAAAATTTTTGAAAAGCCTTTAAATGTCCCTAACCCCATCACACAGAAGTAGTCACTATGAACGTTTTTCCTGCTGATATCACATATATATAATTGTTGATAATGTATGCATATTTGAAAAATTATTTTATGAGGCTAAATTTTTAAGCATCGAAGTTAAAAACATCAGTTGACCTGTATTCACGTATTTGTCATCATGAAGAAATTCAGGAGGGAATGCCAAAATAAATTGTTTTTCTTTGCTGGTATCTGGGACACCAAGGTTCATGATTTATCATTAAAAGAGAGAGAGAGAAGAGAAGGAACAGTTACACCAACTTCTAAGCATCTAACAAATAAATGAAAACATGTTGCTGCAAAAACAGTCCCCATAAAAATGCACGGAAATGACCTACATTTATTCAACATACGGTGTGTGCAAGGACCACCAAAATATGTTCCAGGAGAAATGGCTCGGGGTATTAGGAGAGCTCTTCTGGCAGTATTAACTGTGCAAAGGCAGTTGGGCTCAGCCAGGAGCTCTCCATCAATGGAGGTGTTGGAGCAGAAGCTGGAGGACCTCTACTCTGGAATGTCGAAGACGGGATCCAAGCTAGAGAGATGCTCAAAAGTCCTTTCTCACCTAGGGTGCATAGATACTACCAGATGTACGGCCACACACATGGTCCCTGGAGAAGTGGCTCTGGAGCTGACATTATTTGAGCTGTTTGGGATTATGTATCCTGTGATAAAACTGGCCTAAGCAGAAGATCTCCTAGTTAGCTGGTTGGTCAGAAACAGAGTTTTCCAAGCTCTTGGGCAGTAAGGACTTAAATGCGTCATCAGTGGCACTCCAGAGACACCTCTGAGACTCAGAAGTAGCCCCAATCCCTGAAAGAGCTGGTCTGCGGACCAATCAACTCCTTTCTCTGTTTGCCAGCCACCCTTCACTTCCTCTGCCCTCTCTTATTTCAAGTCTGGCTGTAGCAAAATGGTCCAAATTCATGTTGGTTCTTTCCAGTTTGGGCCATGGAGACACAACTGACATTGTATACAAGGAATCTTACAAAAAGAAGGTACTTCTTTGCCGTAAGACTAATTCTCATTCAGTCAAAAGCTGCATCTTCTGACTACTTGGTCAGATTAGAGGAACTCTATAACTCTGAATGGAGAGAGAAAACTATGGTCAGTAAATCGTGCCATCACTCGGGCAAAATAACATAACCAGTCACAGCATTTTAACTTAACTGACCATTGACGTTATAGAATTTTGCTCCCCTCCCCCTTCTTGTCCACTCTCGCCAACTCACCCTAGCTGTTTTGAAAACAAAACAAAATTCCACTATGGCTTTGAAATAAAATTGCATCATAAACAATTGGTAGGTGTGCTTCCAAGCGGTTTGAGCGAGGTGCCACAGAGTTAAGTAGGCGACCACCAAGGTTGCTAAAATATTTCCTGTCCTGACCAGGCTTGCGTTTCTGGAGAATATTTAACAGAGAGGGTTTTAATGCTTCTAAAGATGTTGAAACTAAAGAACAAATATTGACCCAGAAGGCACCACAACTCTCCTGAAAGAGAGTAAAATACATCCTTTATAAAATGAAAAACTACTTGGCCGAAATATTCCCAAACCCCTGCACAATTGGCCCTCAGAGGGCGAAGGGTCCAATCTGGCACGGCCGGGGCGCGGGCACTAGCGCACAAGGCAGCATCGGAGGTCTTCCCGCCAGGCCGACTGGAGCCTCCAGCCAGAGCAACTGGGCCCCGTGGCCACCCCAGGCCGCAGCTGGCGGCCGCTGGCACAGCGGCTGGCTGACTAGGCCAGGACTTGTTCCCGCGGTTCGTCGCCGCTGGAGAGTTTGGGCTCCGCCGAGGCCACCCCGCGCGGCAGCTCCACCAGCCCCAGACGGCACTGGAGGTGAGGCTGTCGCCCAAAGGGACCCTCCCTGCACCCGGGCGGCGGTGAGTCAGGGCGCGTTATGCAAGGGCTGGCCCGCCGGCCCCCGGCGCCTCCCCCTCGGTCCTTCACCCCGCGCGGTTGCGAAAGCGCGACCCCCTCCCGCCGGAGCTATAAAGCGCCCGGCGGCCCCGCGGCGCGCTCGCCTCTCTCCACGCGCGCCCGGACGCCGCGGCCAGGCTGCGCGAGCTCCCGACGGTGAGCGGCGGCGCGGGGGGGGCGCGCGGGCGGGCACTGGGGGCCGGGGGGTCCCGCTGCCGGCGCTCATCGCCGCGTCTCCCGCAGGGCGAATCCTGGGCAAGATGGAGTGGGTGTGGGCGCTCGTGGTGCTGGCGGCGCTGGGTAGCGCCCGCGCAGAGCGCGACTGCCGGGTGAGCAGCTTCCGAGTCAAGGAGAACTTCGACAAGGCTCGCGTAGGTATCGGCCCAGGTGGCCCCCGTGGCCCGGGTCCCCGGTCCCCCGCGTCCCCACTTCCCGGCGGCGGCCGTGCGCTTCCAGACACCAAGCCCCGCTCTCATCTTTTTCGCAGTTCTCCGGGACCTGGTACGCCATGGCCAAGAAGGACCCCGAGGGCCTCTTCCTGCAGGACAATATCGTCGCTGAGTTCTCCGTGGACGAGTATGGCCAGATGAGCGCCACGGCCAAGGGCCGAGTTCGTCTTTTGAAGTCAGTGGCCTCTGGGCGGCTTTGTGCTGCGGTGTCCCCTGGGCTAGGTGCCAAACCCTGACTGGGGAGGGAACGGAGCACCTGGGTTGGGATGGAGGGAGGAAACCCTTTGTCCGGCCTGGCTCAGGATCCCGTTGGCTTTTGCAGTAACTGGGACGTGTGCGCAGACATGGTGGGCACCTTCACAGACACGGAGGACCCTGCCAAGTTCAAGATGAAGTACTGGGGCGTAGCGTCCTTTCTCCAGAAAGGAAGTGAGTAGTCAGCTCAGTAGGACTGTCTTGGGGACGGGGACCTACCTGGCCAAATCGCTGCGTTTCTTCTCCAATGGCACCCTCGGGAAGAATGGTCTGTAAATGGCAGGAAACCTCAGCAGGGCCTGAGATTAGGGGGATGAGATTGGGAGTAGCTGTGCCCCTCCCCGCCACGCCCCAACCCCCCACACCCCCCGCAGCTCAATAAACCTGGCCCAAGCTCAAAAGGACCTTTGGGCTTGTCAGGTGACCTCTTTCTGCCATTTTCCCGTCAGCCACTCCATGCTTAGACCTCCCATCTCCCCAAGACCGCCCACATGACCACTCAACCTGGTTTGCATTTCTTCCGTATCTTCAATCCGTGCAACAGCGTCACTACTTGGGGCCCCAGCAGAGGCTGGGAGACCCTCATCCGAGGATGTAGCGGGTATTGTGCATAGAGCTGGCTCCCTCTCGGGTGCCCTGCCTGCCAAGGCTGAGATTCTGAGCCAGGCACAGTGTTCTGGGTGGCAGTGACCTCTTCCCCTTCTCCCAAGCACTGAAGCTCAGATGGGGGACAGGGTGTTGAGGACTCTCGGAAGAGTATCCTAAAAATTGGCTTGATGATGAGAACACATATCTACATGCTCTTTCTGCTTTTTTTCCCATTTCTCCTAAGTTTCAAATCTGGAGTCTACTTGGTACCTAGAGAATAATGCAGGCCAGGGGGTAAATATCATGGGATCTTAGAGATGGCGAGCTAGCCTTACAAAGGGGGTTCAAAATACAGACGAATAAACTGAGGCCAAGAGAAGTGCTTTGCCCAAGGTCATGTGATGAGTCTGTGAGAGCCAGTGTTAGAAGCCAGGGGTTCCAACTCCCAGGCCAGGATTCAGTGGCCCTGAACAGCAGGGACTCCTAATACAGGGCAACTTTTACAAAGCATTGTTTGAGCTCTCCTGTGAGAGAGACCCCAGGGAGCTCTTCAGGGGACTCTCTTAGCTCAGTGATCCAGGGCGGAAGTGTCCTTTATGCAGCCCGTCGACACTTGGCACATACTCCTGGACTTCTCTAAAGTTGTGTTAGATGAAATTGCATTTTTTATCAAATTGCGTCTTCAGTATTGATTTACACTGTACAGATGGACTCGCTGTTCAACAAGGGGCAAAAACTTTTCTCCTTAGAAGTAATAAAAATTATTTCAAATAATGTAGCAACTCTTCCTAACGTGGATCATTTAGCATAAAAGATATGCTTTTCTGATAATGGATTACAAAAATCAATACCAGGAGGTACAAAATTACTAATTTTTAGAAAATGTAAACACGCAGTACTCCATAGCATTTTGAGACGCACTCCTTTAGGGCTAGGATTCTGTCGGTACTGCATTGGGGAGGGTGGGAGAGGACCCAGTGAGGAAGCAGGCTTTGCCTCTTGCCTCTGCCTGCCCCTGCCAAACTAGCTTAGTTCTGCTTTTACTGCTTGTACGTTGAGATTCTATCTAGGATTTCATTTGGAAAAAAAACCCTATTGAAATCTTGAAAGTGATTGCTATTGATACTAAAAGAGATAACTACTCTATGGAAGGCCTAGGATAAATTCCTTCTTAGATGCCTTTCAGAAAAGAAGCAGTGCTGTGTAGTGGTTAAGCATGCAGGGTTAAAGTTAGACTGCCTGAGTTCAAATCCTAACTCAACCCACTACCTGTGGGACCTTGGGTGTGTTCCTTAGCCTCTCTGTGCCTCAGTTTCCTCATCTGCAAAAGAAGGTGATCATAGCACCTACCTCACGGAGTTGTGTGATGAGGATGCAATGAGTTAATATGCCGAAAGCACTTAGAACAGTTTCTGAGACCGGAGTTCTCTGTAAGTGTGTGATATTATTGCTGCTTATTATCTCCTCTATCATGAAATAATACCTTTATATTCTGGGTCCGGGATGGGAGGGCCCGCAAAGACCATTAGGTTCAAGTCTCTCGTTTTACAAGTGAAGAAACTGAGGCCCACACTAGACAAGTGACTAGCCTAGGGGCATGCAGCTAATTAGTGGCACTTAGTGACACCCCTTTCCCAGGGGATGTCAAAGGGCAGGAACGGTCTCTCTGTTTTCCAGGTACCCCACAAACTGTATGATTTAATGCTTCTACCTTCCTGTCTTTTACCTGATTTTGAGGGTTTTTTACAAAGCCTCTTTCATTCCTCTGTGCCGATTTCTTCCTTCCTTGACGTTGGTCTAGCATTATACACTGGCTTGGTCAGGAGGATGCGAAGGCCTCCAAGAGTAGCCTGCGTTCTTGATCTCTCCCCTTCATCATATACTGCATTTCACCACACAGATATGTTTAAAACGAGGCACACTTGTGCGGAGAAAACAGCTCAGGAACAAATGCTCATTAAATTTGTTGTCAAATTATTTTAAAATTAAAGGAATAATTTTCTACAGTTGAATATCAAATTTCAGTGTTAGACTCTGACATGGCCCCAGCCTTGGGCATGCTCTGTCCCAGCCTCCTTCTGCCCTAGTCCCACCAGCAGCAAGCAGGATGTCTCAGGGGTGAAGGACGCCGCCATCAACAGATCTTGGTTGCTTACAGGCTCCACCATTGATTAGTCTCTCTGAACTTCTGTTTTCCTAGCTGTGAAATGGGGATAAAGAATAGTCCCTATTTCATAAGATTGTTGGGAGGACTAATTAAAGTAATGCACGAAGAAAGCTTGATGCATAATAAGCGCTCAACCAAGACTAGCTATGAGCATCGTTGCTTTGGGCTCTTCCAGAAAGACCTGGACAAAGAATCTCCTTTGTCCACCTTCCAGATAGAGTCTCTCACTCTGCTGTTAAAGGAGCCCTTTCAAAAACGATGCAGGCCTGATTGTCCACGTGAGGTCCTCTAAGTCAAGGTCCTTGGACCACCTACGTCTAGATCATCCGAGGCGCTTGTTAAAAATGCAGATTTGTGGGCCCAAACCCAGACTTATTGAATCAGAGTCTCTTGAGGTGGGGCCCCAGAGTCTGCATTTTTAGTATGCTCCTTGGGTATGCTCCTTCTGCACAATGAAGCTTGAGAACACCTCTCTAGATAATTCAGTCCAAAGAGTTCTTTCAGCTTGCTTGGGTTTCAAGGCTCGGACTCCACTCACTTTGCCGGGGCCTGTTGGATTTTGGGGGGCAATTAGCCAGGAATAGCATCACACGCACCATCCAGATCAGCTGGACAGTTAGACCTGAGAACTGCAGGGTGCTTCTCACCTGGTTCTGTCGCTTTAGATGATTGGAGGACACAGGTGTAGGCAGCTGAAGTGACACCTTCCAGGCCCACTGCAGTGGATGACAGATCTTCAAAGGAACCAAGTCACCAGAGACAGCTCCCTCTACCAGGCGTTTTATTTGGCTTTTGGACTGGCAATCAAAACCTCTGAACCCTTCTGTGTGGGTACAGTGTAGACACAGCTGCAGTGTAACCCCACTTCCTGGGATGGTAGTGGGGGGTCAGGGCTCCTGGCCATACGCCCGCTGCCTTGATCGCTCTCTCTCCATAGCTGTACTATGTGCAGATAGCTGCTGTCCAGAAATGTCTGGGGGTGTCTGGCTCTCCAGCGGCCCCCCTACTCAGCTGCTGGGAGTGAGGAGGTTGGAGGGCCGAGCTCGTTCTTTCGAGCAGCCCCCGGGCAGTTCATCTCTTGTCTTAGGAGGGAGAGTCTGGTAAAGATTGTTATGATTTAAATTCTTTGTCTGAATCTTTGGCCAAAAAAAGCCTGGAGATAAACCAAACCAACTTAGGCCTTCTTTTAAAATCAAGAACGGTAGTCAATTTTCCTAAAACCAAGCATTGAAAGTAACTTAGTTCCTATGTTAGAATTCACATTCTGGCGACAATTCTGGAAAAAAAAATAAATAATAAGCTGCAGATTTGCTGAGCTAATAGCTACCTCAATCATGAATCTGGGTAACGTTTTAAAGGAGACCGCTTTTGTGCCTGACAAGCAGGCTGCTGGGGGGGGCCTGTGACCAATACAGCAAGCCCCACAACTAGGGAAGAAAGACTTCATTTGGAGAGGAGGAAGACTGCCCCGATGCCCAGAGGCCTGTGAGGGAAGTGCGTGGTTCGAGTGAAGCCCAGCAGGTGGCCCCACGGCTTCTGTTCCTGGTCCATCTGCTGACTAACTGCATGGCCCCTTCTGAGCTGTCACATGTCTGGGTACCCTACCCCTGGCCTCTAACATTCTCCCTGTGGGAAAGCCTGGGAGGTGCAGGGACGGCTCATTCTTCCCCCTGGTGGGCCTGGAGCGAGCCGAAGAGGGGGCACCAGCACCCACTCCTCTGCAGCTCTCCTGCAGGCCTTGAGTGTGGGCTGAACCCCTCCTAGGCCAGCGCCCCGGGGGTTCTCAGAACCAAGAGGTGTACCCAGAGGTGACTTAGGGCAAGCGTTAGAGATCTCCCTTCACCCTCTCCTGCTGGGGGAGCTAGGTTCCTCCGCATTCATCCAGCGTGGAGCACGGCTTAGAGCAGAGCGCAATACTTGCCCATGCCCTGGGTGTGAGATGGAGACACAAAGGCTTTTTGTTTCTTGTTTCTTGTCCCCTGTCCCATCCGTTTACTGATTGCCTGCAGACTATGTGGTGTAGAGGTGAGGCATCTGGGCTCTGGACTCAGGTGGAATCCCACTTCGGTCCTGCTCTTTGTGATCCTGGGTGAATTAGTTTCTCTGTGCCTCAGTTTCCTCATCTATAAAATAGGGATGATAGTGTGCACTTTTGGGTTGACCTGAGGAATAATTGAGAAAACCTGGAAAGTGCCCACACAGTAACTGACACATAATTAAGTGCTCAGAAAGGCCTAGTCATGGTTATATGTGGTGGAGAATGTTAAATCAAGTAGAGATGTAGCACTTTTTACCAAATATAAGGCATTTGGATAAACTCGAGCATTGTTTGTCCATAGCAAATCTCTCACCTACGTTCTCATTAATGTTATTTCCCGCTAATCCTGCCTTTGTTGACATTTTTATCACCTTTGTTTACACTTATTCTTCATGGCTTACATCCCAGCCTCAGGAATAATGTAAATTCTTCAAGGGCTCAGCTCTACCTCCTTCAGGGGCAAGAATACAAGCTCTGAGAAAGAATGTCTGATGTTGGAGGGTGGGCATCTTGTGCCCCCAAGGCAAAAACTACTGTCTTTTGCCAGCATTCAGAAGTGAGTCAGGTTACTAGGCCAGAATTAGGATGGAGCCAGAAAAACCGTGAACCAGATCATCAGAGTGTCGTCCTCCAGTGGCTGGAGAGGCAGGAGGGCCACGTGGTTAGGGAGATGACCAGGAACTAGCTAATACAGATCAGTGCAAAAGATACATCCTGATGTTGGGAATAAGTTGGTGGCCGTCAGACAACAGCCACAAAGGCAGAGATATTGTTGGAGGGTGAATGGAGAAGACAACAGTAGAAAGCTCCATCTTGTGGTTTTGATGGGCCCGCATTCTGCATTGTTCTTTGGAAAAATACTATCACATTTATTGTCAGGGTGAGAGAGACTCATTGAAGTGAATGAGGTCCCCCCCTCCCCAGGACTTTTCTCTGTAAAGGAGAAAAAGGTCCTTTTTCATTTTCCCAATTTTATAAAAGCTCTCAGAATTCCCCGTCATCTCCTGCTTCCTAGTGAAATGAAACCAGTTTCAGGAAGTGACTGGTCTCTCGGGCCTCATGGTGAGTTTCCCTGACATCCGAGCCCGCGGCGGGAGCGGCATTGGCTCTTGGCTTTCTGCTTGCAGACGATGACCACTGGATCATCGACACGGACTATGACACCTATGCCGTGCAGTACTCCTGCCGCCTCCTAAACCTCGATGGCACCTGTGCTGACAGCTACTCCTTCGTGTTTGCCCGCGACCCGAACGGCTTTCCCCCAGAAGTGCAGAGAATCGTGAGGCGGAGGCAGGAGGAGCTGTGCCTGGCCAGGCAGTACAGGCTGATCTCTCACAACGGTAAGTGGAGGCCGGGGCAGGGCACCCCTGGCTCTCCCTGAGGGGTCATTGGCTAGAGAGTTTGGGCCCGCATGCCAGTGAGACACATTTCGTCTGCATGTAGGAGAAAATAGGGAGTCTTAGGAGTCCCCTTGGAGCCCAAGTCTTGGTGGTCCTTCTTGACCACATCTTCCACTGGCCTTACCACAACGCTGATGCAGATGGAGCGGGCAGAGGCCTTTTTCCAAAACCCTGGCTCTTTTAATTAAATAAAACTGCAGGGGACACTCTCCTCCTTTTTTTATACTCCCTTAGGCCCAGTCTGTGTTCACATGATTTTGCCCCTGGCTACACTGCCCAAAAAAACATTTTAACTGACTTAATATTGTTTGGGGATTGAGTGGTCCCAGTGAAGAGCTGGGCAGCAAACATGGCCACTGGTGTAAAACTTAAAGAGCGACATCACTGTAGCAAATTCAAAAGAGAATGATTTCAATAAATGCTCTTTTTCTAATAGGGAACCAAATAACCATTAAATTGACTAGCTGGTTTTCCTCACTTATGCTTTTTGAGATCCCTTGGAACAACTGTTGGATCTTTTTATAGGTATTACCCTTGTCTGATCTTGATTTAAAAACCAAGAACAGTCTGGAAGAAAGTAGGCAGTCTATTTTGAATTGATACTCACTCACTCATGGGAAACTGGGTTTCAGAATCCAAATAGGGTAATGCTAAAATGTAGGAAAAAAGGGACAAAACTGAACTTGTCTATCGGTCATCTAACTGGCTGACCTGCACTACACCAAATGGATATGAACCCCGACCAAAAGCATAAATCAGAAAGGTTTTGCTGTTTTACCCTGGGGCAGCCTACATGAAGGGCTGGTAAAGGATTTCACCTTGGCCAGACTCCAGGCCAAGCCCTTTTCCCACTTCATCTCACTTAATCCTCAGAGACACCTTACGAAGTAAATGCTCTGATTATCCACTTTCTACAGATGAGGAAATGGAGGCTAAGAAAGATTATGAAAATTGCCCAAGATCTTCAATAGGTAGCTGAATTGGACACAAGCCCAGGTTTTTTTGTGACTCTGAAACCTCTTGTGGCACCACCTGGTGATATATGATACAGGACCTGGTGACCACTCTGTAAGACCAGTAACAGAGTGGCTGAGATCAGGATGACTTGGCCTCCACTTCCTGAAATAGGAGGTTGTGCCCCCAACCCTTTGAAATGCAGTGGGGCAAATTTAAGACAAATAAAAAGAACACTACTTCATACAGCAGGTCCTATTCACTCAGCCCCCATTTTCCCCAGAGAAATTCAAAGAGTTTTAAAAACAGCCGTGGGGATGTTTATGAATTACAGCCACATCCAGATATAACCTTACAAAAAGTATTTGAATAAAGCCAAGCGTAGCCTGATATTCATTATCTACATCAAACACTGGGTCCATCATTCTGTCATTAATGGCTTCGTTTTCTATCTTTCAGGTTATTGTGATGGTAAATCAGACAGAAACCTTTTGTAGCAACATCGAGGATGTCAAGTTTCATTTGAAAACTTCCCACTAACTCTTACTCAGCCTTCAACTCTATTTATCTTAGTTTAGTTTGGCCCTCTCTTCTCCCCTTCCCTAGGTAAACATAAAACCTTCAGTCACATAAAAATGTATGTGGGAATAAGTGAATCTATTTGCCCTCGGATGTATGTCTTTACTGGAGTTTTCTAAGGGACCTTTTGAGGCTTAGGGTTCCAGACTTTGATTTATTAAAATGTAGTCACCCGTTTCCTATGGTTTGGGTTCTTAGTTGTGTTCCCATGTGTGTCAAAGTGAGAAGTCCCGACGGTGGTTGGGTAGGGTGTATGTTCATATGCCAGGAGGCGTTCTTCCCTCCCTCCTGGCTCTTTATGATCTTTGGCCAATTCTGGTGCCTAATCTCCGTTATTAATGACTGTGGCTTCTCCCAACTTCCTGAAAAAGGGGTTTCCTCATTAACCCAGGAAGACCTTAACTACCAGACTGGCGAAGGCACCAAGGCGAAAAGAGGAGGTGAGTGTAGGCTAGGCCAGGCCAGCAAGCCCAAGGCCTCGGTCAGCCCTGGGCCCATGAGGTGGGCAGGATGGCAGGCTCACCCACCGCTGGGTTCGAGGGGCTGAGAGGTATGGGTCTGGATGAGCTCTAAGAAACACCCCCCAGGCCTACATGGTTGCTACCACTTATTCACTACTTGTTTCAGATGTGCCAAAATGTTGAGGGAGAGGAGGCCCTTTCCCTTGAGAGGAAGCCAGGTCTGGAGGAAGGTCAGGGTGCCCCCTACCTGGAGTGTGCAGGAACGGGGGTAGGTGGAGGTGGAAGTAGCTGGGACTGGGGCAGATCAGTGTCCCACACCATTAGCAGCACTTGTGAGCATTAGTATATAACCACAAGCAAAGCTGTTTGCCTCAGTTTCCCAGGGGTTCCCAGGAACCTCAGTTTCTCTTCTTGAAAAAGAATCTGTCTTTGGTACCACAGAGTCTTAGTTTTAAGTCAAAATCCAGCTCAGATATATATTAGCTGTGTGATGTGGGGCTGGTTACATGGCTTCTCTGAGCCTCACTCTTCTCTTGTGGAATATGGGGAGACGGCACTTGCCTGATGGGCTGCAGTGGGGATTCGATTAGAGCACTAGGAGCTGTGCAGACACCGGGATGCCAGGCTCATGGCTGTGAAGTGTGTTGGGAGGTGGGGAAGGGCACTGCTCTCCCGTGTGTGAGGAGATCTCTGTCTGGATGCTGGCATATCAAGGGCCCATGGGAGGCTCCTGGGTCCCCACCCCGTGTGCTTTGTTCTTCCACCAAGGAGGGAGGAGACGGGTGACCGTGCGTGGGAAAGCTCTGCCTGTCATCACATGGAACAGCAGGCTGTCAGGGCCCGGCTCTTCAGCTTCATATGACAACCCCAGAGACCCATGAGATAGCCACGCGTCACTTCACAAAACAGCTTTAATTTACTGAATCGATTAACTAAAGATGGACAAAAGATCTCTGTCCTCTTGCTCGAGCTTGTGATCACCATAAATATTACTTCAGAAGCTACTCAAGAAACTCCGTGAGTGATGGCAACTACTGGTGTTTATTTACTTGGCAACAGAGATTTGTTGAGTACCTACGACGTGCCAGGCCCTGAGCTCCTGCATGTTCCTGTCATTGGACCAACCTCCAAGTGATGGCATGTCCCTGAGTTCTCTGGCTCTGGCTTCTCCCCGACTCTTCTCTGCCAGGGATTCTTCACAAAGCCATAGGTCTATAAACACTATCTGATGACTCCCAAGCTGTATCTTCAGGCCCAAGCTCCACAGCCCTGCATCCAGCTGCCTGTTCTCTATTTGGTTCCCACCGGGATTTCAAACTTACATGTCCAACATGAAACTCTTGGCTCTTCCACTCCTATTCTTCTCCCAGTCTTCCCCATTTTTGTTGCCTGCCCCACCATCCGACCAGTGTCAGGCTAAAAATCTAGGAGTCATCCTTGAATCCTCTCTTTCCTACACATTCTACATCCTGTCCATCAATAAATCATATTGGCTACAACTTCCCAAAGTATGTCCCAAGATATTTCTCACAAACGCCATTGGTGCCACCCACCTCCAAGTTCCCCAACTTCTTTTTCTACTTCAGCAGCTGCCTAACTGGTCTCCATTTTAGTTCTTGCTCCTCAAAGTCCATTGCCTGCCCAGCAGCCAGAGTAATATTTAAAAACATCTATCAGGTCAGATCAGTCCCCAATTGCAAACCTCCGGTGGCTGCCCATTAAACACAGAATAAATTCTCTATGGGGGCCTCCCAGGCCCTACAGAATCCAGCCCTGTAACTTCTCTGGTTTCAATAGATGGGCTCCAGCAGGGCAGCCTCTGTCCCAGCATCAAGGTCAGTGCCTAATGCAAAGGATGCTCACCAATAGTTTGCTTTGCTTTGGTTACACTAGTCTTTCCGTCCCACAAGCACAATAACTCTTTGCCCCAGTGTCTGCTCTCTTGCAAAGCCCTGTTCCCCTGGATTCACATGAGTGGCTGTTACTTGTGGTTAACTTTTGGCCCACGTTTCACCCCTCAGAAAGGTCTTCCTAGGCTTCTCCCCACCCCAGCTAAATTGCTGTCATGTCCTATTTTCTTCATGACGTTAACTCACTCCATAAGGCTATATTATTTATTGACTTCTGTTTAGTTTCTCCCCCTGCCTAGAAGGTAAGTAAGCTTCAGGAGGGCAGGGGCGATGGTTGTTCGGGTCACCACTGTATTCCCGACACCAAGAACACTTGGTGGCCACGTCACGTGCTTAAGAGTCATCCAACGGGTGGATCAATGAAGTGAATCACACATGCTCACTCTCAAACATTTTTGGAGTCATCCTATATTCTCCATGAAGAGAGAAGATGACACTGCTTCTCCTAAAGGGGTTCATGGCACTTCCTATCAGTGAAAAAACATCTCACCTTTAAGTGTTCCTTGGAAATTCCTCTAGCGTTCTTGACATTAATGAATGATCTGAGGACTTGCAAGTCCAAGGCCGGACATAGAGTGGCCACAGCCCTTCGAAGGAAAAATTTGAGTCCTAGATCCGTTCCAAGACTCACTGCAGAAACCAGCAAGTGTGCCTTTATATGTAGGAGATGTGATTGCTGAGCAGTCATAAATAAAAATTTATTAAATTCAATCACATTATAATAAACACATTGAAAAAGTTCATCTTTAAAGGAACCCATAGCAGATTCTTTTATAAGGATAAAAGTGTTTTACTGAATGATCACCCCTTAATTTACTGGTGCTGTCAATGTGCATTTGCATAGGTTACATTTTCTCAAAGCAAAGGTGCACTGGCATGATGGTCCTGGAAATTAACTCCCTTTGAAAACATACCGTGGCTTGCCGGAGAGTGACATACTCTGCCTATAGAGAAAAATTAATTAGCTGGAAATAATTGACAAATCATTTTTTCTGCCCGACGAGTCTGTAAACATGGCTCCTTTTTCCAGGAACAAGAAGCAGCAAAAGATTTTCCTCCATTCGTTCCTAAATAGTGACATGTTGTAGAGAATGGGGTTTACGGCCGAGTTGGCAAACGTGAAGGCCACCACCCAGAAGAAGAGGGTCGGCCAGATGACCAGGTCTTGCTTGAAAGCTCTGGATCAAGATGAGGAGGATGGTGACGATGATGGGGCTCCACATGATGAAGAAGGAGACATGAAGCAGAAGAGGGTGCGGAAGAGCCGGAAGTCCTGCCGGGACACGCGGATCTGGTGGCTCTCGGAGTAAGCCTGGCTCACCGTGAGCCTTTTCCTGGATGCCTTTGTGATCTGCAGGAGCACAAAACAGAGCTGGTGGCACATTTTACTGCAGGCTGTCAGGGGCGTTTGGTTTCGGAGCAGCAGAGGGCCCAGGAATTGGGATCTGCCATTCCCGCTGCCTGGGGCTATTTGGCTTTGGAACTTTGTATGGAGAGAGCTGCCTTCTCAGAGGCCTGGCACTCTGCCTGTGATTAGGATGCACTGGAGAAATGGGGCAGCTGGCTGGCCTCCTGAGAAATGAGGCAGGAAACCATCCATGTTGTAAATAGAGTTGAAGAAGGGAAGTGAAGAGCCTTGCATGGATGGTGTAGAAGAGAGATACGTGAACAGAAGCACGTTGCTATGGTCCGAATGTCCCCCCAAATTCCTATGGTGAAAGCTAACCCCCAAGGTGATGGTATTGGGACGTGGGCCCTTGGGAGGTGATTAGGTCATGGGGACAAAGCCCTCATGAATGGGATTAGTGACTTTATGAAACAGACCCAAGAGAGAGCTCCCTTGGCCTTCCACCATATGGAGACACAGGGAGAAGCCAGCAGTCTCCAACCAGAAGAGAGCTCACCAGACCCCAACCAGGCTGGTGCCTGATCTTGGACTTCCAGCCTCCAGAATTGTCAGAAGCAAATTTCTATTGCTTGAAAGTCACCTAGTCTGTGGTGTTTTGTTATGGCAGTCTGAACAGACTAAGACACACATTTTCCCTGTTATTTCTTTTTTTAAAAGAGGTAAGTAATTATTTGTATAAAAGCAATATGTGCTCAAGGTACAAACTCAAACAATGTGATACTGAAGGAGATCAAAAATATATATATAAGGGGGCTGGCCTGGTGGCGCAGCGGTTAAGCGCGCACGTTCACCGGTTCCCCAGTGCGGACATGGCACCGCTCAAAAAGCCATGCTGTGGTAGGCTTCCCACATATAAAGTAGAGGAAGATGGGCACGGATGTGAGCTCAGGGCCAGTCTTCCTCAGCAAAAAGAGGAGGATAGGCAGCAAATGTTTGCTCAGGGCCGATCTTCCTCAAAAAAATAAATAAGGCCTCTAGCCTCTGTGCCCTCCATTTCCACTCCCTAGAAGTGACCAAAATGAACCGTTTCCTATATGTCCTTCTGGAATGCTCTTCCTCCACACACATGCCTGGCTTTGGGATCGTAGGTGCCTGCACTTCTGCTTTGTACATGAATGGGACCACGCCACACCCCGCTCTGAACCTCGCTTCTTTTTCACGTAGCAGTATACTTTGGTGCTCATTCCATATCAGCTCCTCATTCTTCTTATCTTGTCAGTGATTCCATAGTGTGGCTGTACCACAATTTATCCAGGCCCCTATTGATAGGTATTTTATTTATTTAGCCTTTTGTTGGGGGGGGGGGGCATGTAGGTACTGGGTGAAGTGGCAGAACACATGCTTCTCCCTCTCCGCTCCCCTCTAGGGTGTTGGGTGGGGAAGAGGGCAATGGGACCTG